TGCAAATATGTTTCCAAACCAACTTCCTTCCAAGCCAAAGACTACAAAATAAGATATGCTTCATATCTTGCCTTTGGCTTCACCTGCACAAGTGCCAAGGTAGTGGTCCCCGGCAGAATTGGTTTCCCTGCGTCAGGAGCACACGCTGGGCTCTCCAAATCACAGACAAACAGTATCCCACAGTTGTTTATGTTTCTGAACCCAGTTTTTCACAGAGGGGCTTTTTTGAGGAAAAAGTATTGATAGCAATCTTGAATATTATTACACAGGAAAAAAAACAGCTACACATAAACTAATTACACCATGACGCCTCTGTCTTTCTAAATGGAGGGACAGTAATTGAGTGTGTATATGTAAGCGTGTAAAAACTGCAGAGAGTAGAATTAACAGTAACAGTATTTTGTATATCCGCTGTTCTAGAAATTCATCCCATGTAAACAATAATGTGGAGCACAGCTGATGTGAAAAAAGCACACACCTTTGACATTGCATGACGAACTCCGCATTCATTGTCCACACGTAAACGCAAAAAAGAAATTTTTGAAAATCTCCAACCTGGCAGGAGTTTGAAAAAAATATATCAGTTTTCGGTGATTCGCAACGCTGGTTATGTGTGTTATGTGCGTTTTCAAAAATACCCGTGTAGGTGTGGACATAGCGTAAAAGACTTAATAGTTTATTTTATTGCTATCTGTAATTTATTGCAGTTTATATATGGGTGTGTGTGGTTGGAGAATGTGGGGAAGACCACTGGGCTAATTGATCAATAATGATGCTCGCATTAAAACTAAGCAGCTGTCTTTTTAAATACTGCAGTCATATCAATACAATTTGCTGTTTCATTACATGAAGGAACCTTTCAAATACAAGCGCACTCATGCTCACAGGTGTACACACGGATGATCACAGACACAAACCACACCCTTTTTGGCTCCTACCTCAAAGCACACTGTGCGCTGTCAATCCTGCATGCTGCACAATAATATTCAATATTTAGTATTTACTGTTATATTCACACAGATCATCGCGATGATGTTGTTTATTATATTGCTCTGCTTTTTTTGCTTGTTTTCTCTTTTTTCTTGCTCAACAGGTGATCCAGGTGATTGATAAATGTATTTTTTGTCTGTTTATTTTGTTGGTTTTTGTTTTTTGCCCTTTGTCACCGTTTCTCTTCCCCGCTGTTTTTCTTTCCCTCTTTCTTTCTCCCTTTTCTTTCCCCCAGTCATGTCTGTCCCGTGTACAGCAAGTGAAAAAACCCCCCAAAAAAAACAAACAATAAAAGCAAAGGTGAATCAAATAGACCAATACGGCAAGGCTGGGATGGTCCATTTGGTAAAGTAAATCCGTTGGGCATCTTTCTTTGCCTTTAGACAATAATTCTGATGGCAAAAGAACCAAATGAGACAGGCGAAAAAAGTACATAAATAAATAAATAAATAAAGTGGAAAGTGTTAGGCAGGGCCTTGAGTTTTTCATGATTCTGAATTTCTTTTTGTGATGCTGCATATTTAGCAATGTATTTATTAATTTGTGCAAGAAAATAACAAAAATACTTCACAGAAAAGTACATAAAGTACAGTCACATACATAGTGACATAAATTATTTTGCACATCCTGAAATAAAATGATTGCTGCACCTATCTAGAATACTGAAGGAAATCCATCTTATACAGTGTCATGAAAAATCAAATTCAATAAAATTAGTGCTCTAATGTTGCATATGTTAGTTATGGCTGGGTTATACCCCCAAGCAGTCAATGCATTGATGCCACTGCTATGTTTTTGTTATCTATAACATTTTGTGGACCTTTCTACTTATGTTTTAGCTAACTAGAACCCTCAGCAGCTTACCAGCCACATGGTGAGGCAATTCCTCCAACGCCTACTGGAAAGTAGGCTATATGTGAAGGGGGAGAAGTGTAAATTTCATGTGGACTTGGTGGCCTTTCTGGGGTACTGTCAAGGCCCAGCGGCACGAGGGAACAGAGATGGACACAGGTGCAGAAACCAACCCGGAAGCGAGACGATAAGGGAACAAAGGATTTATTTCCGCCCACAGGCAAACACAAGCAAGAAAACTACGCGCCACTAGTGTGGTGGCGTAGGATAATCTAAGATAACGGAGGGTGACCTAGACACCTCTAGGAGACGGCTGAACAGCAGAGGCAGCGGGGAGGTGGAAACAGGACTAGGTAGGGGCCGGGGCATTGGTTTCAGGTGGAGGTGACAGGTGGGGCGGAAGGCCCGGAAGCGGTCGAGGCGTGGGGAGGCAGGCAAGTGAGTGGTCGCCAGGCCACGTCGTATCAGCAGCAAGCGGCCCAGGTCCAGGAAGGCGGGAGTGAGGGAGACAAGACCTCCACTCCAGATGCTACCTATGGGGATAGCAGATACTCAGGCGATGAATGGTTGAGAGCGCAGGTCTGATATACTGCCGGAATAATTGCTCACAGGTGGTCAGCCAGGGAGGAGCAACCAAACTCCGCCTAAAGGAGGAGGGGCCGCTGTTGGAGACCTGCAGGTACCCACCCAGACCATGACAGGTATATTATTGAGCACGGGAACCTGAATCCTGACACAGTAAAGATACAAGCTGTGCTTGAATGGCCCGAATCCACTAACTGCCGACAGCTCCAGCGTTTTTTCTCGTTTGCCAATTTTTGTCGCTGGTTTATAAGGGACTCTAGCAAAATCGCTCTACTAGATTCTAGTATACTTCTCCCAAAGTTTCCTTTCAGTGGGTTCAGCCTGTTCGAAAAGCCTTCTCCCATCTCAAGGAGTGGTTTCCCATGGCTCCCATTGTACGACAGCCAGATCTCAGTCCTCAAGTCATGAACTAGGTGGATGCATCAGACTGTTACAATAGAGAAACGGTAAGCTCCACCCATGGGATTTTTACGCTCATCGTCTCTCCCCAGCAAGCAATTATGACATCAGAGATGAGGAGTTTCTTGCCATTAAGCTCGCCCTGGAGGAATGGAGACATTGGCTTGAAGGCACTGCACAGCCATTTAGCGTTTGAACTAACCACAAAAACATGTAGTACCAAAAGGTTTAACTCTCGACAGGCCAGGTGGGCACTGTTCTTTACCTGCTTTAATTTTTCTATCACTTACAGATCTGGCTCGTGGAACGTGAAACTGGATGCCTCCGCAGGATCTGATCCCTGATCCTGAAGCCGCCTCTTGCTCGGTTGGAGCAGTAACTTGGGAGATCGAGTCAATTATGTGGGAGGCACAAGAAACTAACCCCAACCCTGGGTCTGGCCCACACAGCACATTTTACCTGCCACCCTGGGGTCCAGCGCTACTTCTGGTAGCCCACACTGGCAAAGGACACCAGGGAATATGTGACCGCCTGCATCACCTGTGCTCCAAACAAACTTTCCAAGCAGTCTCCGTCCGGATTACTTCAGCCTCTTCCCAAGCCTGGCCGACCGTGGTCCCACATCTCTCGATTTCATCACTGGGCTGCCACCCTCCGCAGGTAACACCACTATTCTGACAATAATCGACTGGTTTTCCAAAGCTGCCCACTTTGTCGCCCTCCCAAAGCTCTCCACAGCCATAGAAATGGCTCAGCTGCTCACCACACACGTGTTCAGCTCCATGGCATTCCAGAGGACATCGTCTCAGACCGAGGACCCCAATTTAACTCTCAGGTATGGAGGGAGTTCTGCTCCACCCTGGGCGCAAAGGTCAGTCTATCTTCTGGTTGTCACCCCCAGAGGAGACAGAGTGGACCAATCAAGAACTGGAGGCTGCTCTATCGTCGTTTCTCAAAACCAAGCCGCCTAGAGTGAACAACTGCCGTGGCTCTTGTATGAACACAATAGCCTCCCATCTGCCACGGGGATGTCGCCCTTTGAAGCATTCCTGGGGGTCCAACCTCCCCCTGTTCTCGGAAATAGGAGCACAGGGTCACCTCTGTGCAGCATAACCTCTGCCGGTGCCGCTGCGCTTGGTGAGCCACTTGGGCCTATTTCCGAGATAGGCCCAAGTGGGCCTATCAGGTTACAGGCCGGTTCCGGCCTGTAACCTGGAACCGGTTACAGGCCGGTTCCAGCAGATTCCCTGGAACCGGCCTGTAACCCCTGTTTCCCTGGATGCCTGAACGTGAGTGTGACAGTCTGGCAAAACGTATCAGTACAGAGGGGAGAGGATCTCAGGAGCACAGTGAGTGAGCAGAAAGCAGAGTGAGAGGAATGAAGCGAGTGGAACACCTTTTTCCCTGTCTACCCATGGACCCCTGGAACTATTCCCCCCACCTTGTATATATTGCACGTGGTGTTGAAAAATAAAGAACTCAGTGTGTGCCTGAGAATGACCTGCCAGTTAACAAAAATGTATGTATGAACATTATATATTTATATGTTAAAGTGTCTCAAGACAAGTAGATAGAGCTTTTTAAGGGGGAAAAAAAAAGAATAAAAGTCACATTTTTGAATATATCACCACACAATCAGCCATACTTTTGAAAAATCACAAAAATAAACAAATAAACTGCATAAACAAATACATATACGAATATTTTGTTTTTTTAAAAGAAAAAGTTCTCTTTACTTACTTTTCCACAGAAATTAAGCAAATATTTTGTGAGTCATTATCTCACAGAATAACTTGTTGCAACATGAGCTTCCTTCCAAGTTTGTGAAATGTGATGTTTGCGGGGGGCATAGGACCAGCATGCTTACCTGTCTGATTACCTGCCTGTCTAGTCAACAAAGACTTGAGGCCTACTCTGGATGAACCTTTTTATACATCTTTTCAGCACTGTCTAAATGTGATTGCCCATATCACAATGACTCACCAGCCTTTCTTGTTGGACAGCTCTTGAACTTTCACCTGCCATCCTTGAAGAAAAAAAATAAAAGACCTTTTAAGGAGCACATGTGTTGGAATTATCTTATGGAACTCTTGGATACCCATTGCAATCATTCAATTTTTTTTAATTCCACTTACCTTCTAGTTCTCGCTCGTGGACCTCCTTCAGTTTGTGGAGGAGGTCATTGAAACACTCCATTTCTACAGCAATCACCTTTGCACAGAACATGCAAGATTTTAGTTAGTTAGAGTTGTTAATTTTAGCTATTTTTTATGAATAACATAACACATTCTAAATCGAATGTTTTTAACTAAAACTTTACTAAAACAGTAAAACAAGTCAGTTGAAGTGCACAGGCGTTATAGCCGGAGGACTTTTTGTACATGTGAGAACTGAGCATAGGACACTTTGTTGTTATTCACATGTGGGAGCAAATTCTTACTTATTTCAGGTCTGATTAAAACTAGTTCAACCGGTCTTTCGAGGCATGGGATTTAGTTCTGCAGTATGTGTTTCTAGTATATGAAAAACAGCCTTGAAACTTTTGAGTGCTCATGTACTTGCAATAACTTACAGTTTTACCACTGTAAATACTTTGTAAACAACAAGTGATACTAATACATATTGCTTTTTTGGGGAACTTAATTCTTCATCATTAGGTTTTTGTAGACATTATACCATTTCGTCTTGGTTCAGTTCTGGTTTCTGAAATGCACCAAACTAAAGAAGTATGACCTCAATGACAGAGAGACTACACAAAAATATATTCCATGATTGGAAAAGAGTAGGGAAGGTCATAAACCTACATAGCTATGCCAATGAATACGCTGAATTTGTCTGTTGAGTTTACTGAGTAATCAAAGACCTATTATTAATGTAGTTCAAATACGTATGCCTCCATTTTTATGTATACTTAACTACTCACACTATAGTGTGACACTAGTGCGACATACTTTGACATAGTGTCACACTACTCACACTATAACAGTTTTGGGGTGGTGTATTTGACCCTCCTTTAATCAGAGCCATACCCTTTTTCTTTCATCATGACTATTGTGAAGGCGCATGGTAATATATACACTTGGCCTTTGAGGGTTTATCTGTAGTAAGTGTATGCTGTCAGTCCACTGTTTACCTCAGCTGTCAGTATGTGTCCACATCTATTTAGTCTTCAGGAAGCTGTAAAACTTTGTGAAAGGAGTCATTGAAGCTCACTTCTGTTCCGTGACAGTGATACTGATATTTGTTGTTTAGGACCCTCTCTTGGTAAGCACTGCTTTTCCACTGTTAGCTGCTGGTATCCAGTGTTAGTGGTGCTTTCTATGAGTGGATCAAACATAGGTGGGCTTGGACACTTAATGAATAAACTCGTATATGAAGCCATTCAGCCTGAGCTGTCCCTCTGACATACTCGTTTCTAGTACTGTCCATCCTGGTTACTACCACATGAAAACCTTAAAAAACCTTCAAGTCTGCCGCATCCAGCTTTGCTTCCTATTTTTCTTTTGTCAGTGCCAGCGTCTCTAAACCATACACCAGAGCATGACTCAGCAGTGTCTTATAAACGTTCCCTTTCACGCTCACTCCTGCGCTTCTGTTGCAAATCAACACCTCTCCAGACTCTGCTCTCACCACAGATCACAATGCCATCTGCAAATATCATAGACCCCAGAAAACTCTTTCTGCCATATTGCTGCTCACTGATTGTCACCAATTTTCCTAACATAGCTTCAACAACTCTGCCCCATGGCTTCATTTCATTAAAATTTTCATGGTGCAATGTAATTTTAGCATTAGTAGCATTAGCATACTAGACTTCTCTGGAGTAGCTGTAGATTAACTTTTGTGTGAAGAATTTCGTAGTTTATAAAACTACCAAGTAATTTCCCCAACACATGAACTCAGAGATTTCTTACCTTACACATTCACTTTATATTATGAACAGTATGTGAATTATTAGATGTTAGCACTGGTTATCTCTGGTTATATTTTTGTGATAGGTTACAAAAGTTAGCTTAGCTAGATATTTAGCTTTTTATGAAACATGATAGGGAGGTCATTGTAAAAGGTTCTGAAAAAAAAAACTGACCAAGAAAAGTTACTCGGGTGGTGGTTTATAGCCTCTGTGTTTGAAGAGCATTTTTTTAATGGCCAGCAAGAATCGATGTCTTTAGTACAAAAACAGATGTCGATTATGTATTAAATTAGATTGTGATCTCAGTTACCTATTTTATGTCTTCTTTAATATAACGTAGTATTGATTTTTGTACATGATGCTCCTATTAAGAGTATGAAACATAATAAAGCAGTTTGTGTATGCTTTAGTGCGTGGCTATGGTGGCTGTAGATCGGGAGCAGGTCATCTACTGATCGAAATGTTAGTGGTTCAATTCCTGGCTCCCCCAGTCTGCATGCCAAGTGTCCTTGGGGAAGATACTAACCCCAAGTTGCTCTCTAATGCATTAATCAGAGTATGAACGTTGCTTTTTGTACGGCTATTTCCGTCATTTCCTTGCTTAAAAATGGCGGTCTTGATTTTTGTGAAGGAATCGCTCTCATGACTCACTGAGTGAAGTCACTGCCAATTGGTGGCATGCAGTCTGTGGATGTGACTTTTTCGGATGGTCTCCGACTATTTGGAGCTGAATAGGTACTCAAAAAGTACCTTGTACCAGGTGCCACCACTTTAAAAACCAAGTCGAGCTGAGCCAAGTAGGTGAAAATGGGCTTAACTTCTTAAAATCAGACTATTACAAAACAAGATTAATGAGATGAGATTTGCTGGGTTAAAGTCAAGTTTTCTGTATCATCAAAGCTGGTTCCTTTTTTACCTGGCTAAATCACCCTGGTTTCTAATGCTGAACGCATGAACTGGTCAAAAGCTGGTTATGTTCTAAGTTTCAGTTTAAAATTGTCTGGAACTGCCATGTTTTAATTAATTATTTTTTTGTGCAGCATGTCTGAAGTTTGATTTAGTTATAGATTCCCTGCTGTAGGAGCACTTTTTAAAAATGCAACTTGATAAGCCGTACCTGATTAAAATGAGGTAAATGTAGCTCAGCTGTTAATGTTACAGCTGCATACAGGAGTTTGTATGCAGTCTGTTGGTGATGCAGAAAATATATAAATGATTTTAAAGTTGCAGAGGTCTAATGTACAACAACCACATTGGAAATAAATATGCAGCGTTAAAAAGTTTACAGTTTTTTATTGCTCTGTGCTCTAAATCCCAAGATAAACACATCGCTGCAACATTACTTTCTTATTTGTCAAAGTGTTGCAATTAACTATTATGTTTGTTCTTTTTATCATCATTTAATTACCATCTGATTGGCGTAGGCAGCACTTATAGGGATCATGTTGTGCAGAAGCTCTTTTTGATGTGACAGTGCCTGAAGCAAAAAGCTGAACAGTGAAACCAACAACTATGACTGCAATACCCGTTACCTCTGACTAGAGTTTTAGGTTTTGTCAAGTCATGTTATGAAAGTCAGATAAGAAAGCCTGACTATGTAAATTTACTTTGTAGTAAATTTACTCAGGTCACCACTAACCTGTCTATCATAGGGTTAGGGTTAGGTAAATGTACACATCTTTTTATAGAATATTTGCCCCTTTGACCACATAAATGGAATGAAAGCTATTAACTGACAAAATGAGATGCCCATCTTTTGGCTGAAACAAAAGTCAGACTTAAACTTGAAAGGACAGAAGAGATAGCTACCTATACATACTTGTCTAGGTGGCTATCTCTTCTCTCCTTTCAAAAAAGTTGCCTGATATTTTTGATGGAATTCAAAGCTGACATGCTGCAAACTAAGTTTAAAAACAAATTTCCTTTTGCCATCAATCTGCATATCCCAACATTTTCATATAATCTTTTTATTTCCAGTATAGCACAGTTCCTTGAGGCCTAGGGCATCATTAGCAATGACCCCAATTCAAACTCCATCGGCTATTTAAATATGACATTTTCTTTCAAAAAGAAGTTCTCCTGAGTCTTGGCAACCAAGAAACAAAGAAAGCAGTCATGGCAAGTGACATAGATCAAAATCCATTTACATTAAAAAACAAACAAACAAAAATCAAACCTTTAGCTTGAGTCTAAGATCTTAAAGCATTAAAACAAAAACAAATACGTCGGTTTGGTTATCCTTGATTTGATGAAGAGTCTGTTGGTATCTTCTTCCAGTTCCTTGTAAAAATTTGGTTTGCTTTCCTCGGTTGTCTGATGATTTAAAACGGATGCATTTAAAGGACTCTGTTGTCCAGCAGACATTCGGCTCTCCCTCTGCTTATTCATTTAATAATACAAAAACCCTAGCCTTAGACCTGGTACCTTAACAAAAACCCTATTATCAAACCCATTTTTCATACCACAATTTACCTCACTGCATTTTACTGGCACAGTGAGTGTGAAAAGATTTAACATGAATCATACAAGTTTGCATATTTATGCAGATGCATAGACATGATCGCTAACAGCACAAATACTGTGATTTAGCATTTTGATCGGCGTGGATTCGGCTCTCTCAACGTGTCAGGATATGTTAGGCAACTGGCTGTTCACATCACCTCAGCAGAGCAAGAAAAGACCTGTCTGCTTTTATGTTCCTGCTCTGCTATCGGTAGATCATTATTCACTCTTACACATACACACACACACACACACACACACACACACACACACACAC